TGAGAACAGACATGAGAGCCATGTATAAATATCTGATAAGCTGTCATAAGGAAGAGGGAGCAGGCTTGTTTCCCACTGCCCTTGAAACTAGGACTCAACGGAGTCATGGGTTCAAATTACAGGAAAGGTGATTCAGTCTGAACATCAAGAACTTCCTGACCATAAGAGTTGTTCAACAGTGAAACTCTCTGCCTCAGAGTGTGGTGGAGGCTCCTTCTTTGGAGGTTTTTAAGCAGAGGCTAGATGGCTATCTGTCAGGAGTGCTTTGATTGTGCTTTTCCTGCACGGTAGAATAAAGGGGGTTGGACTAGATGCTTTAAACATTCAGAAAAAGCTTTCCATGTCTTCACCAAACTTTGACATGGGACGGTTGAATTTTGCATTGACTTGTGTCCCAGTGAGTTACAAGTGCTACATGTGAAATACAAAAATAAAAATGGGAAAAAAAAGGGAGGACGACATTTCAAAACAGACACGCCACCAAATAGGATTTGGATATTGTGCAGACTCTCACCTGGCTTTTTAAATATCATTAACATCTTTTAAAATATTTATATATATATTTTAAAAACTCATCGACCAACACACACACACATACACAAAGAAAAGGAAAGAGAAAATAAGCGGCCCCGCCTTCGCCATGTTGGACACAGCATTATTTACAGCATGCAGGCCTTTTGAACATCGCCTTCGAATCAAATCGTCATTCTTTTCAAAACAAGCAAATCCGCAAATACACAAACTATAAACATTATTTAAGAACTGAGATCCTTCAGCAACTTAAAAAAAAGAATTATATTATTATAACAAACACAAATGTTGATTTAATTTTTCAAAACAGTTAAATATTCCTGGAGCCAAACTTTTTAATTTATTTTTTTACTGTATTATATAAAAAAAGAAGCATATTATAGTGCAAAGCGAAAACAAACAAAAACACCAATCCTAATATTTGACTGCTTGCATAAAACACGTGTTTTTCTTCACGCATGACTAGGGAAAAGGGCTGGGATGGGACAGACGGCAATGGAGTTTGCAAGTGCACATTGAGACTATGGACGCCGTGCCATGTTGTTCCAAACGTTTTTGGTTTTGGCCTTGGGAAATCACACAGACCATATAAAATCCAGACTACAGTAGAGTCTCGCTTATCCAACCTTTACTCATCCAACGTTCTGTATTATCCAACACAGTTTGCCTCCTGCCCGGATCCACAGCTGTTTCAATACATTCCAATGTTTAGGTGCTAAATTCATAAATACAGTAATTACTACATAACTTTACCGTGTATTGATCTGCTTTTTCTGTCGATCTGTTGTAAAACATGATGTTTTGGTGTTTAGTTTGTAAAATCATAACGTAATTTGATGTTTAACAGGCTTTTCCTTAATCCCTCCTTATTATCCAACATTTTTGCTTATCCAACGTTCTGCTGGCCTGTATATGTTGGATAAGCGAGACTGTACTGTAGATAGATCGATAGATCAATAGATTTTTTTTGTCATGTCAGGAGCGACCTGAGAAACTGCAAGTCGCTTCTGGTGTGAGAGAATTGGCCGTCTGCAAGGACGTTGCCCGGGGGACGCCCAGATGATTTTGATGTTTTATCATCTTTGTGGGAGGCTTCTCTCATGTCCCCGCATGAGGAGCTGGAGCTGATAGAGGGAGCTCATCCGCCTCTCCCCGGATTTGAACCTGCGACCTGTCGGTCTTCAGTCCTGCCGGCACAGGGGTTTAACCCACTGCGCTACCGGGGGCTCCTAGATCAATAGATATTGATAAGGAACAGCCATGAAAGAGGGCCCTGCTCGTGGACATTCCTCTGGGGGTAATGGTGGTTAAGCGAAACTCTGCTGTATCCACTCTGAACTGGATTATATGAATCTACACTGCCAAATAATCCAGTTCAAAGCAGATGATCTAGATTTTATATGGCAGTGCAGAAGGGGCCACAGAGGCAGCAAGGAATGAACAACTGCAAGATCTTACTAAAGGAAGATACCTTTCTTGTTTTGCTACCAGTTGTAAACAGGGATCCAATCACAACACCACATATTAGGGAAAACTGTATGTGTACAGAGAAATGGTTTAAGGAACCAATGGAATATCTGTTGTTCCATGTTTTGACACAAATTCACTGTATCCCACTGGCTATTATTATTATTATTATTATTATTATTACTACTATTATTGCCTTGTTTTGATGCAAAGTTATGACTAATCAGCATGGGGCGCCATCACATTTCTGAATTTCACTGTCAGCCAATACTGTTATTAGGATGTAGGTAAAAGTATAGGCTTTCCCCTGACATTAAGTCTAGTTGAGTCCGACTCTGGGGGTGGTGCTCATCTCCATTTCTAAGCCGAAGAGCCGGCGTTGTTAGTAGATGCTTCCAAGGTCATGTGGCTGGCATGACTGCATGGAGCGCTGTTACTTTCCCACCGAACCAGTACCTATTGATCTACTCATATTTGCATGTTTTTGAACCGCTAAATTGGCAGAAGCTGGGGCTAATTGCAGGAGTTCCCCCCGTTCCCCAGATTCGAACCGCCGATCTTTTTGGTCAGCAAGTTTAGTAACTCAGCGGTTTAACCCGCTACACCACCATATGTATTGGGATGTACATTGGGATGTACAAACATACAAAATTTGGATGAATATTAGCAATCAAAGCTAATATTTCCCATCATGTGCATCATGTGCATGATGATTGACGCTGTCATAAATCCAGAGCAAAGCTGATAATCCACATTATCTGCTTTGAACTGGATTATGAGTCTACAGTGCCATATAATCCAGTTCAAAGCAGATAATGTGGATTTTATATGGCAGTGTAGAAGAGGCCCTATTCTAGGTCATACCTACCCTGAACCAAGGAAAGAAAAAGAGTCTATTGGGCCTGAAAATGATCTCTATGTACAGGGATGGGGTATGCATTTGCTTTGAAAACCTTAATTGAAAATGAAGTGTAGCAGAGGTTTATAAGGACAGAGGTTTACTACCTTTTAATGAGACCTAGCTTTATAGTTCTGGAAGAGTAGCACAAGTAGAGTATATAGCAGTAGGGGATATGAATGAGCAGGCTAGAAATTGCAAGATACTCAAATTAGGCAGAGAAAATGAAATGCAAAGATACAGAAGGGGGGATGCTTGACTCGATAGCAGTACATGTGAAAAAGGTCTTGGAGTCCTCGAGGACAACAAGTTAAGCATGAGCCAACAATGTCATGTTGCGGCTTTAAAAGCCAATGGGATTTTGGCCTGCATTAATAGGAGCCTAGTGCCTAGATCCAGGGAAGTCATGAGACCCCTCTATTCTATTCTGCCCTGGTCAGACCACTTTACCTGGAATCACACGGTGTCCAATTCTGGGCATTGCAACTGAAGGAAAATGTTGACTCTAAGCTGGAATATGTCTAGAGGAGGGAGACTCAAATAATCAAGGGTCTAGAGAACAAGCCCTATGAGGAGTGGCTCCAAGAGCTAGGCATGTTTAGCTTGCAGAAGAGAAGGCTGAGAGGAAACATGACGAAGGCCAGGGATCAAGAGGTGAAAGGAAGTCATAGGGAGGAGGGAGCAAGCTTGTTTTCTGTTGTCCTGGAGACTAGGACGCAATGGAACAATGGCTTCAAACTACAGTTCCCTCGCTACTTTCACGGGTTTTTGAAAATATTAATAAAATTATAAAATATAAAATATTTATGTCCAGAGGAGGCTAAGGACCCCGGAAGTGCAGTGGCCTGAGGTGTCTGCTGGCCTGGCTCCGGAGGCTCTGCAGGGGTCTGCGGAGGCCAGGGAGGCAGGCAGGCACCCTTGGAATGGGCCAGGAGGTGGGTAAGGAAGCATGGCTAAGAAAATAACAGATAAAATCTATATAAATAAAAACGTAATGTTCGTTTGTGGAATTAACATAACTCAAAAACCACTGGACGAATTGATACCAAATTTGGACACTACACTCCTAACAGACCAATGAGTGACCATTACTCATAAACCCCTCCCAAAATATAGCAGAAAGGACTTAAAACCCCCCAAAAGCTAAATGACAATACAGCACATGTGTGAAAATGACAGCTCCCAGCATCCCCTAGACCAGGCCCTTTAGGGGAGGAGGATGATCCACATGCACTGCTTCCAAGCTGCAAGTTTTCTTCTCCTTGGATTTCTTTGAGAGCATCCCAATCCATATGTATTTCCTATTCCCTATTCCTATCCAACTCACAGCAATCCTCCAAATAGATAATATAGATTAGATAGAGATAGATAGTAGGTACATAGATCAATCAGGGGGACTATTGGGAGTTGCAGTCCAAGAATAGGTAGAGAAAGAAGGAAGAAAGGAGAGAAAGAAAAAGGGAAAGGGAGGAAGGAAAGAGGTAGAGAAGGAAGGAAGGAAGGAAGGAAGGAAGGAGAGAAGGAAAGAAAAAAAAGGGGAAATAAGGAAGGAAAGAGGGAAGAAGGGAAGGAAGGAGAGAAAGAAAGAAGGAGCGAAAGAGGGATGGAAGGTTGGCCACAGCAACACGTGGTGGGTACAGCTAGTAATGTATAAATATTAAAATTAATATGGCATCCCTACTTCGCAGATTTTCACTTATTGTGGGGAGTCCTGAAGCGGAACCCCAGCAATAAGTGAGAGAACACTGTACAGGAAAGGAGATTCCACCTAAACGTGAGTTCAGCAGTGGAACTCTATCTCTGCCCCATAGTGTGGTGGAGGCTCCTTCTTTGGAAGCTTTTAAGCAGAGGCTGGATGGCCATCTGTAAGTGGGGGTTTGAATGCGATTTTCCTGCTTCTTGGCAGGGGGTTGGACTGGATGGCCCATGAGTTCTCTTTCAACTCTATGTTTCTATGATTCTAAGAGAGACTGGAAACAGAAGCAGTACGGAGAACAGGTCCCTGGCCCATTTATAAGACAAGTCAGCAGCTCAGTTGCTGCATTATGCCCCATTTGGGACTTCTCATCCATTCAGCTGAATTTTCTGTGCAGAAAGTTGTCTATTTGTTTGTTTTGTTGCCAGTGCATAGAAAAGTTAAGGCTTTGGTCTACAAGTCCCATAACTTCCAGCCAGCATAATCAATGGCTTTGCTTTTGGGTGTTTTGAAGCAAGATTTTTTTTTAAAAGGGGGATCTCGATGCAACCCAAACACGAAACTACCTGTCACGATTTCCCAATTTTTGCAGAAGGTCCATGTAAACAAATAGCAGCTATGTTCAGTTTTGAACGTGGCTTGTGTAGGCGCTATGTACCCTATGGATGAGACCTGTTGGATTGCTATTCGATCGCAGCAAATGGTATCCAATATTTGCAGTCTGACATGTCAACCTTACATTGCTTCCAAGTAAAGCAATTACTGAATTGTAAAGCAAACCCCTGTTTGGTGTACAACATGGTGCATTTTGGTTTGACTTCATTTTGACCAAGATTCACAGATGTCTCTTTCCAGCCCTGGTCCCTAGAGAATGAAGTACCCCATTCATTTGTTCATTCATTGCCTTTGAGATGATTGGTTACCCTTCTCACGCATGGCTAGGATTGCTACAAAGGGGCAAAGCGTTGCCATTTTATGTACATTCAGGACACAATAAACCATTGCTCAAGGAGAACCCAAAGGAATCAAGAGAATGTTGTCTTGAAATGTATTAAAACGTCCAGCCCATCTCGTCTGCCTTTGCTTAATTAACTTAATTACCTATATTTTGTACAAAAGCAATTTCACTTGGTGATACATGTGGAAAATGTTGCCTGTGGCTCTTTTAATAATATCTTCTTTTTTAACAACCATCATGGGATGTGGTTGGGCTTTTTAATTCCGTTACAGCTGAAGGTGCCTGGCTTGCTTGTCTCTTTTTTTCAATATGGTCTCCAGACAGCTTCATCCATTCTCCCAGGAGTTGTCATGGCTGTGGGCGAGTTACTGTGGCTACCATCGGCCTCAACAACATCGTTCTGATTGGCGAGACTGGGGTTAATCAAGTTGTTTCCAGCTGATGCACCTGGGCAGGAGGGAAGCATTCTTGTTGGTGAGCGCTCTCCCCCTGCCACCATGGAGAACTGATAGGACCCAGAGGATGTACCATAGTACAAGTGGTAAGGAGATGGGTTGGTCTGGAAGGCTCCGCTCTGGTTTTGGGTGGAGCTTGGGTACGGTGGGGGGAGGTATGTATGGTGGAACCGTGTGGTGGCGGGCATGCTGGTCATGCTGATGCCACCAATCCCAGTAGCAGAAGGCGTGGCTGTGTATGGAAAGGCCGCCGACATCGCACCCGGGTAATGCATCCTGGGGTCTGAAAACCTGGTCTCAGTGAGGCCTGGCAATGCGGAAAATGACCGGTCAAACTGGCGAGGATCGGAGAAGGGACTCAATTCCGATGTGCCTAGTTGGGAAGGAAGGGAAACAGAACAGAGTAAATATGTTATTGCAGGGTGAAGTGCTTATTATTATTATTATTATTATTATTATTATTGTTATTATTATTCTACAAATCACTTGTACACCAGAGCAGGAACACCTATGACCTTAAACATCACACCAGCTTGGTAAACTCAGTAAGCAGTTTATTGAAGAATAGAAGTAGTCAAAGCGGTATGTTAATAAAACAGTAAAGTTACAAAACAAAGGTTAGTCTATGAGCTTCAAGGCAAAACAAGTTCCATCTATATAAATAAAAATATAATGTTCGTACAACTCCTGTGACCAGCAGAAAACATTGGAAGGATTTGGTGGGCATTGACCGTGAATTTGGGAGATGTAGTTCACCTACATCCAGAGAGCACTGTGGACTCAAAACAATGATGGATCTGGGCCAAACTTGGCACAAATATTCCATATGTCCAAATATGAACACAGATGAAGTTTGGGGAAAATAGACCTTAACATTTGGGAGTTGTAGTTACTGGGATTTACAGTTCACCTACAATCAAAGCATTCTGAACCCCAACAACAACAGAATTGGGGCAAACTTCCTACACAGAACCCCCGTGACCAACAGAAAATACTTAAGGCCACCCAATTCAGCTCCCTTCACCAGGGCAAGAAAAACATAATAAAAGCCCTCCTCACAAAGAGCCATTCAACCATAGATATAGATAGATATATATGCTTCACACACAGAGAGCTATAGTATGATAGATTTGAAAAGGGCCCCCTAAAGAAGGACAATTATATGTTGCATGTTCCAGAGTAGGCAAACCAGACAATCTCCACAACAACACTGACCAAGAAACAGCAAGAAATACTGTTTACCCACAAGCTTAAAGAAATCACATATATTAGAAACCAACACTTTTCATTACATTATTTTCCAGATCACCAGACTGGGCCACAGCAACATGTGGCAGGGGACAGCTAGTAGATATATAAATCCATGAAACAGGTACAAGAATCCATGAAACAAGGCAACATGAAAAATCCAATACACAAATCAAGAGCTTGGCAAAAATTTGGTACACGGAACTAAGAATACTTGAGAGCAAGATCGACATGAAATTCCAACGTTGACACAACTGAGGCAACGCTTTCCCATGAATCAATATAAGGCTTTTCCAGATCTCAAAACCAAAAGGAAAGCATTTCGCTTGACCTTACCACCAGATAAAGATTTCTTATCTATCTTTTCCTGTAATTGAACTGATCTTCTTTGTGCCTGAGCACTCTGTCGCTGCTTGCAAAAGCCCCACTTTCTATCTACGCTCTCATTAACTTGACTCTCATTAACTTCTGCACCTGACAAATCATCTTCAGACAATTGTTCTGAGAAAGACTATCAAGGGCCTCTCCCTGGAATGTGACCTTGTAAATCTTCCAGACAGCTCGGGCCTCTCGCCTAAGCTTAACTCAGGCCCAGGCAAACCCTCATCCCCATTGCCAACAGACCCAGGCCCACCATCGAGAACATCATCCCCATTCCCATCATGAACATCAGGCACAATCACAGCAAACAAGATCACTATGCTGGCTTTGTATTCAATTACACATTGGATACTTCTCAAGTGTCTAGGACTGTGTGATGTAAATAATAATAATAATAATAATAATAATAATAATAATAATAACAACAACAACAATGGAGAACCTCTTCCGGATAAACTTTGCAACAAAAAATAAACAAACCTTAGGGCCACCATAAGTCAGAAACAATTTGAAGGCACACAATGTCAACTGCATTAAGTACCGCATCCTTTGTCCTGCACTGCCTAGTCCAGTGGTTCTCAACCTGTGGGTCTCCAGGTGTTTTGGCCTACAACTCCCACAAATCCCAGCCAGTTTACCAGCTGTTAGGATTTCTGGGAGTTGAAGGCCAAAACATCTGGGGACCCACAGGTTGAGAACCACTGGCCTAGTCAAATGCTTCTGAAAAACTCATAAGTGGGAGATGAAGGCAACAGGTATTCTGTTCTTTGTTCCCAGTATACTGCCTGTGCCCATGTTAGCCATCAGCCTTGCTGTCGGAGATCACCATGGAGTAATGAGACACCCAAGGAGATTCCCACATACCCACAATAAACCATAGGACTGACATTTTCCTACCAGTTGTCTGGCTTCCTGGCCAGTTCACGGATGCTTCTCCCTTGTCACCCTGGGCCACACAAAAAGGGAATGTGACACACTGGAGATCCAAGAGAATCTGGCTAGCTAAACTCAAGAACGTAGCTACCTGGATAAGAGCCTAGCTTAAAATTGGGAAGAGATTGAGCCTCCAGTTCTTATATAAGCCCACCACTATCCCATGCCTGCATCTCCCATGGAATTCACTTTCCAATGCCGTCCTGAATCAGGCAAATAGATACAGACCCTTCCATAGGTAGCTAATTAGCTATGACAAACACTGTATGGCTCACTGAGAAAAAAATCATCCACGAATTTGTCGAATTTCCATTTGAATATCCTGCACCCAACATTGCTGAGAGTTTGGGTAATTCTTTAGGGCAGTGTTTCTCAACCTGGGGGTCGGGACTCCTGGGGGAGTGTCACAAGGGGGTATCAGAAGGTTCACAAAAGACCACCAGAAAACTCAGTATTTTCTGTTGGTCATGGGGGTTCTGTGTGGGAAGTTTGGCCCAATTCTATCATTGGTGGGGTTCAGAATGCTCTTTGATTGGAGGTGAACTATACATCCCAGCAACTATAACTCCCAAATGTCAAGGTGTATTTTCCCCAAACTCCACATTTGGGTATATTGAGTATTTGTGCCAAGTTTTGTCCACAGCCATCATTGTTTGAGTCCACAGTGTTCTCTGGATGTAGGTGAACTATAACTCCAAAACTCAAGGTCAATGCCCACCAAATCCTTCCAGTATTTTTTGTTGGTCATGGGAGTTGGTCATGGGAGTGTGCCAAATTTGGTTCGATTCCATCGCTGGTGAAGTTCAGCATGCTCTTTGATTGTAGGTGAACTACAAAACCCAGCAACTACAACTCCCAAATGACAAAACCAACCCCCTTCCCAACCCCACCAGTATTCAGATTTGGACATATCGGGTATTTGTGCCAAATTTCTTCCAGTGAATGAAAATACATCCTGTATATCAGATATTTACTTTATTTATTTATTTATTTATTTATTTGCTTTGCTTATATACCGCTGTTCTCAGCCCAAAGGCAACTCAAAGCGGTTCACAACTAACAAAAACAGCCAAAATTCAATGCTACAGTATAAAACCAGTGACACCTAACATTATACAACAATTAACAAACCATTACTACAATAACCATTCAATTATCGTCTCATCGTCACAAGCATAATCCAGAATCGTCATCCATTGTTCCATTCCTATGTTCAATTACCAATCATTGCACTAATTATTCGAACGCCTGCTCAAACAGCCAAGTTTTCACTTTTTTGCGGAATACCATTAGAGATGGTGCTAGTCTAATGTCCGTGGGAAGGGCGTTCCACAGCCGAGGGGCCACCACCGAGAAGGCCCTGTCTCTCGTCCCCGCCAGCCGTGCTTGTGTTATGATTCATAACAGTAGCAAAATTACAGTTGTGAAGTAGCAACAAAAATAATGTTATGGTTGGGGGGTCACCACAACATGAGGAACTGTATTAATGGGTTGCAGCATTCGGAAGGTTGAGAAACACTGCTTTAGGGCATCAAACAATGAAGTATTTCTGTAGCCAGCCATATTGACTGAGAAATTCTGGGAGCTGCAGCCCCCAAATTAAAATTTTATGTATTCTTCCCATATCAGTAAGTTTATTATAAAACATAGACTCCTCTTGGCTGGTATAGTGTGTGTGTGTGTGTATTAGCAATATGCTTGTGTCTAGCTTTCCACCAATACAGAGCTATAAACACTGAAATAAAATTGTTTAGCTATTCTCTGGGGCTGTGTAGTAAATAGTCAGCAGTGAGTCCCCAAGCTACTCAGTCCATCTGCTTTGGCAGAGATATGCGCACACAAACAGAGAGACTCAGAAGGAAATCTGGAGTCTAGGCAAGGTCTTCTGAGGCCTTCGTGTGGGTGGTCTGTTTGTGCTGAGAGGCACAAGGGACCAAGCTGATAAACACACAGCTGAAAGCTTGCTTACTGTAGGTCATGCTATTACTGTTCCTTTGGCTTCCAACAGTATTTTTTTAAAGAGGGAGGAAATGTGATTCTAGTTTTTTCTGAGTAATGGTATTTCATTGAGTTAAGAAAGAGAGGCTCCAAAATGGCTCCTCCCTCGGCTTCCAGAGATGCTCAACCAGCTTTATTGGAAAGATGTGCCATGATGTGTCAAGCCTAATAATAATCCCAAGTTCAGGGGGATATTGTCTCTCAGCCAGGGACCTGGCTTCTTGTTTTATATTATCCTTACGCAAGCGTTCAGCCGGATCCCATAAAGACTGAATGTGAAGTGGGAGCCAAAGCTCCCTGGATCTTCTGGGGAGGCCCTGCTCTCGGCCCCGCCTGTGTCACAAGCGCGCTTGGCGGGGACGAGGAACAGGGCCTTCTCGGTGGTGGCCCCTCGCCTGTGGAATTCACTCCCTGGTGAAATTAGGTTATCTTCATCCCTCCTCTCCGTTAGAAAGAAGTTAAAAATGTGGATGTGGGACCAGGCCTTTGGGTAACTATGCGGACAATGACAATAATGACAATGGCTATGGCAATAGATAGGGCTGGGCAACCATGGAAAAATTTGTTTCTAAACTCGATTCGTTTTTAGGGGGTTTTTGCGTTTCGTTTTTTAAAAGAATTCTGAAATTTTTCTTTAAAAAAGTTCGAAATTTACGAAATTTCGGAAATTACGAAACAATTACGAAACAATTACGAATCAATTCGTTAATGGCGGATGCGATTGCGCAATACGCTAAAAAAACCTCCAAATGGGACAGGGGGAACTTCTGAAGCTTCCCTCTCCCTCTGTTGTTAATTTATTTTTTTATCACT